CATGAATACAATCAATATATAAATCAAAATATAAAACGTAACTGAAAATAAATGTGATCAGGAATTGGAAAGAAAGGAAAGAAAGGAAAGAGAATGGTGAGGCAAAGGGAAATTTTTTTTAAAAAGCATTAACTTCCAAATCTTTTCAGCCCAGTAGAATAAAGGTAACAAAATTATAGCCTCAACTCTTTACTCTTGCATATTTGGCATATACTAGCCATTTCTATAACAATAAACGCTTAGGGTTTACTATCACCAATATTTGGTCAGCAACATTAACCACTCTGCAACTTATATAAGTGTAGCTACAGCAATACTTTGTTGTAAACCTTGTATTGTATAACATTTTTCTTTGCTCTACCTAAATAACTATGGATTGCTGATATAATTTAGTTTTTGAAAAACAAGACTACCTAATCACCTCCTAATTTTTCAGCAAATGAAATGTAGTGACAACAATATGTCTAACTGGGGATATAATAAAGCCCTTGGTAATTACTACTCTTGACTCAATCTGTTCTAAGAGCAATAAAGGTGTGGCAACAGAATTAAGGATTAAGAAAAAAAAACCAGTGATGCATGCAAATACAATCTGTGCAAATGTTTTCACTTGAACATGACAATGCATAGAGATCATGTTGTCTTCCTCGTGCTATCCGCTGTATTTTTGCAATATGTGTTTTTCAAGGAATTGGAACCAATTTTAGCAGCTCTGTGCAAAGTTAATTAGAATATTCACTGAACTGTGATGACACTACACTGAATAGAACAAGATCATCAATATCAGTCATATAACTGGTGGGTGGGCTTGTTAGCTTGTGGTTATCTTACAGTCTGACAGAGCTGTCAGAAATTCAAATCTTGCATTATTCATTTAATATAAGACTTTTTAAAAGAAAAGGAAACTAGTTATTTAATTTTTATTAAATGAACTAAAAATAGTGCATTTCACATTCCAAATGACATCAATAAACCTTCAAAAAGCTTCATCCTTTTGCATAGAATATGCCTCTGCATTTCTAAATTTGTTAGGAAACAGTGACCATAGTGTTTTAGGCATAATTGTGTACTCTACCCTTGTCAGAAATTCTCCATCTATATACATAATTTCAGGTGTGTAGATAAGATCTGACCTATAGGATATTTTGACAAGGTTTGAAATGCATAACAATATCTTATTGATTGCTGGTTTTTTTTAAATTTGGGGAATAGCTATTTCTGATGGACTAATTGATAAATTAGCTATAATTAAGAAGGTAATAGAACTCAGAACAAGGGAAATTAGATCAACAAAGCTCCACAAGTATTCAAGTAGGAGATTTAATAGATGTTAAGGTTCAAAAAAGATTGACAATCTCCCTTATATATTCATTGCAGGAGAGAAGTAGTCATACATATCTACGAAAGACAGCTGGGAGCGAGAATGCACATATGCTTCACATATAGACTAGCATGCTTATTCTACTTATTGTAATTTAAGAAAAGAAAATGTGTAGAGAAAAGAAACAGTGCTGACAGAACACAAGGAAACGGGTGGTTTTATAGAGCATTTAGAAAATAAGTTGATAGAGTATAAATTAGTAAGAGAAAGAAAAATAATTGCTAAGCAGAATTACCAGTTCCAATTTGGATAGTTTGAGGACCACTGATGTCTCCTCCTACACAGGCTAGACTTTGCAATAAAATAGAGTCGATGTATGTAAGACTAAATGCCTCTTATAATTGTGGTGCCCACAGAATCTTCTGGACACAGAGTCTGTCTGGAATGAAGAGAAGACTAAACAGAGGCTAAATTCATTATTAGGGTAATTGGGCACCCAAGCATATTCAACTACCTTTATCTGTATGGTAATCAATAATACAATTAGTTAACAGAGCTTATACAGATTTACTTAACATAGGTTCTTTCACCACTGAAATAAATAACTAATCAGCAAGAGAAATGTTCTTGCATTCATCTTCCTTGACTCTGACATTCTCCATATATGTGTACTTAAAATATAACATTCCTCAGCCAGCATGGCCTTTGCTGCAAAACCTGGAAATAGATGTTGTCCATGGGGGTGGGTGGGGAGGTTTCACATGCTGTATCTCAGGAACTTCATTAAATACTCAAGGACCAGAATGATTAGGAATACAGGTAGTCCTGGACTTGCAACCATTCATTTAGTGACCATTCTAACTTTTCAGCGGCATTGAAAAAACTGACATATGTTTTTACACACATGACCATTGCAGCACCATTGTTTACATGAACAAAATTCAGATAGTTGACAACTGGCATGTATTTATGACTGTTGCAATGTCCCAGGGTCATGTGATCATCTTTTATGACCTTCTAACAAGCAAAGTGAGGGAAGGAGCCAGATTCACCTAACAATCATATTACTAACTTAACTGCAGTGATTCACTTAACTTGTGGCAAGAAAAATTGTAAAATGGGGGAAAATTCACTGAACAAATGTCTCATTTAGCAACAGCAATTTTGGGCTCAATTGTGATAGTAAGTCGGGGGGAACCTGTGCATCAGACACAGAAGAAGGCTGGGGATTCAGTGAGGCAAAAGTTACCTAAAAGTGGTTTCTTATGTATCTTATTAAGGAAATAAGTAGCATTTCTGATTCTGAAGAAGGGAATTTAGCTGAGAGAATGAAGAGTTCAGAATGATGCAAGGGTCAACAAGGAATAGAAGGAAGACATAATTTTTTTACAGCCAGATTGTAATGCTGAGGGCCAGGCAGAACAAAGAGAATCGCTCAATATGTTTGCAAAGTTATTTATAGGACTCTCGATGCAAGTGACAAGAGCTTTGGCTCTGATACTACACAGCACTTCATTATACCTGTTTCTGAAATATAAATGACAGCTTTCTATTCTAACATACACAGACTATTTTAATAATTCCAAATGCAACATTTTAAAAGCATTGTTCCTGAAAGTACTACATTAGTCATTTTAATATGATAAATTGATTGCATTCATATATAGGACTTAACAGGGTTGGTTTTTTGTGACACGTCTTTTCTGACACAGGTAAGCCTGCGAGACAGAAATTGGTTTCTGAAATGCTGAGTTTGTACAATATAACAATGAAAAAGAATTTTGAGCTTTAGTCTCTTTTGGTTTATATACATAAAGACTCGATGATTTGTATATAAAAAATATCACAAGGCCTATGGTAATATTTAACAACATTTATCTTTAAAATGCTTTACTCAGCAAATTTAAAATAAAAGTATCATTCACCTACCTATTCTATAATACAAATTGAGAAACATACAAGAAAATATCAAAGCACTATGATCAGAATTATTCATGCTTATCCGAGTGATTCTTGTTTATTCTAAATTACAGTATATTTACTTAGCTATTGAATATGAAACAGTGAAGCGCAACATGATTATATCTATCTAATGATTCCAAGTAATTTCACACAAGATTATTTACTTTGTATTTTTTCTGTCCTAAATGTTGCAGTAGATATGCAGTAACAAAATGAATTACAGCTCCTCCCTTTTTCCTATCCACAGGGCCCTTGTTTCTGGTATTTACAAAATAGTGAGCAATGCAAGAAATTAAGATATACTGTAAGTATAGCTTTAGTTTATCCCTGACTTTATAAATGTTTATTCCTGCTTGACTTCCAATGCCATTTTTCTGATCAAACGTACTCAACCAGACGTAGGAAGTTCAAGACCAGTCCTCGTGCCCTAATATCCTAGAAAAGGTGGGTCAAACTGGCAGCCCAGGGGCTGGATGCGTCACATGCAAGCTACGCCCACCCCAGCTCCGCGAAGGGAAAAATGTCACGATATGTCACATAATGCAGCCAAGTTTGATACTCATGTCCTAGAACCTTCACCTAGAATCTAGAACCTTGACTAGGTGAAATTATGATAAAGCAAGCCATAGCATATTACATATAGTACTCAGTTCTTTCCCCCATTTTCAATGAGGTTACAAAGATCCTCAGAAAATACCCCATAGAAGTTCTTTAGAAGATACCCCATTTGCTCTTGCCAGTTTCTAAGATTTAGAAACAGTGTACATGAGAGTTGTAACAACTTTTTTAACCCCTGTTATTTTCTTACTGATACTTTCCCTCTACAAGTAATTTCCTATGGTACTATTTCATTACATAAAACACGGAGGCATTTATTTTTCCTGCATACATGCACAAAATCACATTCAGAATCAAGAGTGTATTCTACATCCCCTACATTCCCAACATGCACAGTTGCACTAAGTTTATTCTTCCTTCCAATCACAGCCTGTTTTAAGAAACTCTCCTTCATAATGAACAAAAAAAGTCCTTAAGAGGGAGAAATCTGTGTCTCTTCTCCTGCCCCAAACAAATAATCTGATTAGCATGGTGTGACACACTAACTCTTGCAACCTCGGCATGATGAATGAACAGAAATCATGGATTTCCTATATAGCTGGTAATTATACCAGCTGGTATCAAACAAGTAACTATCTTCACCCATTTTTGTGGAGAAACACTAAAAGTCAAATAGCAGTTTGCTGAAAGGTTTATTAAAGGAAAACAGTCCATAGGAGAAAAAAAAAGCACCACCTTAGCAGATGATTAACATTGTACTTTGAATCTAATATGATAGATCACATTTTGTCAGTGGGATAAGATAAAATCAAAATAATGAGTTACTGCTGCACTTTTACACAAATTGTGCTTTGATAGATTGCCTGCTTTGAGATCACCCGCTATGCAACTTAATGCAGCAGGGCCAGTCTGTTCAATGTAAATTTCAAGCTGCAGGTGCCAATGTATGCTGAAGGATGCATCCAAGATTCTCAGCAACTGCTGTTCAAAGCAGCTATATTACATATGGTGCTTTCCTGCGGTGCTGTGAAAAGATTTTTAGTGCGGTGCCACCAGGAGGTTTCCAAAAATCATGAGGGCAGAAAAAAATAATTGGCCCAGTGGAAATAAAATATTAATGAAAGCTTCAACAGAGATAAAAATAGCTTTAAGTACTCACATATATTCTCTGTGTGCCGAATGAACTGCTGCTGCATTGCTGTAACGCCACAGAACTATCACTGAAGACAACACATCCAACGTGGCATCAAACTGGAAAAAGATAACAAACAGTTTAATTGGGGCAACTAAGGCAAAAGATGTTGCAATGAAAGATTGCTAAGGCTTCTACAAGGCTATATATAGATGCAGCATTAATCATTGGAATAAAAAGCAAGGAACATTAAAAATTGACTTTTTTTATTTTAAAAGGAACAAAAGACAATACGATTAAGTCAGTTCAAGGAGTAATAAAATTTTAAACCCCATCAATCGCACAATGTTACCTTTTCTGCTGCAAACACATGCATATTTAAAAACAAGACTCTTCTATAAGGGAAGAACGATCAAACTTATGGCAAAACAATGAACATTACTGTTAATTAATCTAGAGTGTAAATTGTTGCTAGATTTTCTAAATTAGCAAATTATAGCACCAACTTCATATCTCTGATGGATTCATAGGAACGACACTGCCAGAATTATTTCTTTTTTTTAGACACCTGAATGACAACAGTCACAAGTTCAAACTACAATCCAATCTTGCTAGATACATATGATGATGATCTGAGGAACAAACATTTTTGAAGAGTTCTTAATGAATATATGAACATGAACAGAACTACCAAAAGAGAATTTTTTTCATTAACTGATTGGTGTATTTATTGGATAGATCTCCCAACTTTCCTCCAGCTCAAGGCGTCACACATACCACTCCCTCCCTCCTCATTTTCTCAAATTAACCCTACTTGATAGATTGGGCTGTGATGGTATCAAAATCACCCACTGAACATCGTGGACGAGGACGGACTTAAACTCCCAGTTCAGTCCTAGACCTGAACCACTTTACAACGTGTGGTTTCTATGGCATTATGATAACATGGAGGAGGGATGTAATCATCTAATTTTGGGGTGGGAAGAGGAATCATCTCATTGCTTATTTGAAAATTTGCCCTTAGTATTATAATTTTTAAATACTATGTAAATAGTGAACTAAAATGTCTACCTACTCCATAATTTGCTTCTAACAGAGCTCCCAGTACTTGCAAATCAGCATGAAGCTGATCAATCTCCTGATACTGAGACTTACCCTGAGAGTATACACAAAGAATTAAACACTATTGATAAAACAAACCTCCACAAATTGGACTAAGCCTCTGTTGAAACATGCTTGAGTTATGCGAGCTAATACAGGAAACAGTGGACAATACTGAAACATGCTTTAGACCCGTTTCTAATTCTTCTGTCAAATTCAAATAAGAAATCCTACCTAAAATCCAATTAGTCTTCTGATCTGGTTGTTTAACTTTACTTATGGCTCCTCTCTGTCTTAAATGTATTTGCATGAATTGATAGTTTTTGTGGCAACTGTGGATGGAAGTAAGGGTGGGTTCAATCAGAAAAAGTAAATGTACATTTCAGTTACGAGAATACTTACTGCAAATCCAAATGATGAAGCACTGTACCTCATTACAGAGACAGCTAAAAGGAAAAAGAAATTTTGAAATCTACATTCATTGAAATTGCATGCTTGATTAGTCAGTCAGTCACTCTGAATAAATGACACTACTGTAGTACAATAATCTCAAAATGAATATATGTATCAGAATTGTTATTCAGAAACTAGGGGAAGGCTGAAGAATAAGAAAGAAAACCTGCATCCCATGCTGAATATATAAATTAACTATTTCATCATAAATATTTATCAACAATAAATTTTAGAATTAATTTTAAATTTTAATGGGATACAATTTATTAAAACAGAGGATTCCCTCTAGTTATAGAGTTCTGCTTTTATATGGAAGGACAAGAGATGCTTCCTCCTATTATTTGCAGTTCTTTTAATCCTTTCAATTCCCTAAAATGCTGTGTTTTGATTTCTGCTCACAAGAATTTTCTATAAATTGTTACTGAAATAAAGAATACTGCTATCAGAACCATTCTTAAGAAATAAAATTTTCATAGGTTTTTTTCACTAGTTGTTCAGATCAAAACCAGCCAATACCAATTGTTCATTTTTGTGTTATTAAGATTCAAGCTGTGGAAATATCAAAATGAAAGTTTCGTTTTGATATTTAGGATGTATTCAACATCCTAAGAGAGTGTTTCTTAACCTTGGGAACTTTAAGACTGGTGAGCTTGAGCTCCCAAAATTCCACAGCCAGCTTTACTGTCCTATACTTACAGCATAAAGAGCCTTTAACATATAAACCATCATCAAATTATAATTTTTTACCATTTAAAATATGCATTACTAAACCTTCTCTTTCTCTTTTATGTGAAAATAAGAAGAGAAAAATAAGGAATATACTCCTGAAAATGGGCATATTTAGTCATGTAATGTAATGTAATGTAATTGTAGAAGCAACAGCCCAACATACAAGTTGTAACTTCAGGCCAAGGAGCACATTGTGGGGACTTTTTCTTCAGTTGTTGGAAAAGGATTTCAGGGTTGCATATAGATCTGACTCTTTCTGCCAATGATTTTGACTGAAGAAATTACTTGGATGTGTAACAAAATGTCTCCGTTTTAATAAACTTTGGTCCATTTGCCATGATTGAACTTTTTAAGATACTTTTTGCCTAGATCAGGAGTGTCAAACTGATGGCCCGCTGGCCAGATGTGTCACACACAGGCCACACCCACCCCAGCTCTGCGAATGGGAAAAACATTACAAAACTTCACATGACGGCAACGTGACGCGGCGAGTTTGACAACCGTGGCCTAGATGATTGAATCTTCATTTATATAAGTTGCTTTTCATTTTGGGGAGAAGCCCCCTGCAGTCTGTATGGCAAGAGTTGGTTGTTTCTAATGACTCTCTGAATCTCTCTGTCTATCCAAATTCTCATTTTAACTGAAGAAGTTACTTGGATGTGTAAGAAACATCTCAGTTTTAATAAACTCTGGTCCAGTTGTCATGATTTAACCTTTTAAATCTGGATGATTGAATTTTCATTTACATATTTCTACATGCTAATTGCTATAAAGAAGTCCTGGCCACTTGAGACTTTCAAGAAAAGATTGGACTGCCATTTGTCAGAAATGGTGTAGGGTCTCCCGCTTGGACAGGGGGTTGGACTAGATGACCTATAAGGTCCCTTCCAACTCTGATTATCTGTTATCTGGTCTAGAAAGTGGTAAACAAGGAACTCTCTAAGCCAGTGTTCCCTAAATCTTGATAAATTACCCAAAATTGGGTAAAAGTATTTCATGTTTAGGTAACAACATATGAACCACAACTGGAACATTTAAATTGACTTAAAAGGTTTTTACCTACATTGGTTAAAAAGGACTTTCTGATAAATGGTTTGGGGCATTTTTTATTTATTAGATTCTTTCTTTTATCCTACCTTAATTACTTACTAATTCACCGTGGCAAACCTATATAATACTCCCTCTTCCTCCTATTATCCCCACAACAACAACCCTACATGATGAATTGGGCTGAGATTCCCCCAGCCTGCTTTCATGTCTAAGATGGGACTAGAACTCCCAGTCTCCTGGCTTCTAGCCTGGAGCCTTAACTAGCAGACCAAAATTTTGGGAAGTGCTCCTCTAAGCGCTAGGACAGGACCTCAACTAACTCAACTGTTTGTCAGACTTGCGTAGAAACAAGGGGCCGTGTGCTCCATTTATCATATAACAATGATACAAAATGAAAAGAGGAAATGATGTTTTTTTTCCAAAATGCCCTTCTACACTGGTGATTAGAAATAACAAATAGGCATGTGTGTATGTGCATGCATACACACACACTCACACAAGCACAATCATTTATAGGAACAATCTATAAAGAAAAGTTGTACTCTATCTACATTGTAGCAAGAAGAAAGAACATATAGCTTAAAAAAACTGATAAAAATATTTGTTAAATGATAGATTTATTTTACCTTTTTATCATTATGTATTCCAAATATTTTTGATAAATTGTTGGATAGGCAGCTAGGTCCTGTTTCATTGCTAGGAGCCCAAACCTAATTATTTTTTATCTTTAATAACTGATTCTAAAAATAAATGTGTATGTATTTCAAAGTGTGACAAAAGAGGATCTTTTCAGCACAGCCTATGTACTATTTGGGCTTAAGAGGGAGAAAATATGTATTTCCTTCTTCTGTTCTATGTCTGCAACCTTGAGGCTTCACAGTTTTTAGTTATATGTGAATACCAGGTGCTGTTACTAAAAACAGAAATCCTACATCTTCTCTTTCTCCATATTGTTTACTGAAATAGAACACATGCATTCTTCAACAAGATATTAACAAGAAAAAGAAAGTAAGTGGATTGGTTGCTTTGGCTCCAGCTATGCAGTTATTCTATTTAATTCCATAAGAAAATATAGATTAATGATTTGTGCTTGGTTTAGGTATTATTGTATTATGGGCAAGGAACTATTAACCTTGTAAATTACAACCTCTGAATAAGGAGGAGTCTGGTAGCATCTTTTCAAACTATCATGTTTTATTAAAAGGCATGTATTTTTTCATCACTGCACACAGGCCTTCTAACAAAATATATCAGTTTGAAAAAGTGTAACCAGCTCCTTCTGATTTTTAGCTATTATAAACTAAATGGGTTATTTTCCTACAATGTATGTAACTAGGATCTCTGAGGAATCAATTTATTAATCTATCTGACCAGCGACCTACTCAAACATCTGTTACAGGGCTTCTCTCCTCATCTCTCATCTTTTCATGCGAGATGTGTCTTCTCCTAATTGAATGCACCCAGAAACATTTTGTTGGTCACTGTGAAAAATAAAAAGCTTGACTAAGATGGGCTACTGTTATATTGTTACTGATTTTTTCCATATTTTTTTCCATTGTTGTACTGTAATAATTTATTTGAAGTTTTGTGTCCACTTTATCATACTTTTTAAACCTTGTTCCATTCCTATGTTATATCTGAATTACACACACACTTCCTAATATGTGATCTTGATAAGTGTTTTAAATTCTGTCATCTATCTCAAAGTCCCCCCTTTCTTATTTAAAAACAAGGAAGCATTATTGGGAGACTGCTTTTTAAAAATGCATTCCTTTTGTTGTACCTTCTTCTTTCACATTGTGATTAAATTTATACATTGCTTTTAAATTAGTTTCAACGTTACTCAAGTTTAAACACTTAACAAATGAATACTGATTAAGACAAGGTAAGCAATGGCTTTTAAAGTAGAATGCTGTGAAATTCATAGCAGAGAGCAGATATTATTATGCAAAGAATATTCTGACATGTACAAATATATTTTTTAAACTTTATGATACTGATCCCTCTAAGGAATGTATTTAAATTTTATTTAAAAATAAATAAATCACCCTTTAAATAGATTGCACTTCTGGAAATCTGTCAGTGTTATGTACATATATAAAGAATAAGAAAAAACTATAACTGGAGACATAAAGCAAAAGCAAATAATTCTAAATTTAAAAATCTGGTATAACATACAAAGAATTATACTAACAGATCTGTCTATCATCATTATATCCACCCACTTCAGCATAGTTAATTACAATGTAACAGAAGCACTGATAAAATAATGTTCTACTAAAATTCCCCAGAGATTTCATAAGAGCATCTCTTTAGTCATACCACCCACCCACACACATACACACACCCCCCGCCAGTTCAAATGCACCTGATACAAATAGCATCTTGAAAAGCAATTTCATGTATTGTATTCTTGGTCAGATTATTAAAGCTGTCCATGTACACAGGTAAAATGAAATCTCTACCTTAATAAGGAGGCAATGCTTTGCATGTAATCTGTGATCTTAAAAACAGGCAGCCAGATATTATAGTAATTAATTCAAACAACACATCTTTCTACTATCTTCACATGATATCTAACGCAGAAATCCACATGAAATTTTCATACATTATGTAAAATTTATATAATTTGCATAAAACGTATGAACATTGTCTGGACTAAATTCTGTTTGGCAAAGCAATCTGAATCCAGATGTTGTCCAATGCATTCAGTCCACTGAAGGGGGTGCATAAAATCAAGATTTTACTTATGAATTACATTAATTATGAATTCACTTATAAATTATACGCAGGAATAGTTCCATGACTGTAATTTCCTTCCCTTTCCTTCTTCTCCCCTTACACCACCAAATCAGCTATAGAAAATATGTAGATGTCATACTTGTGCTTGCAAAAAAAGTCTTTTAAAAAGTTGGCCATACAGTCAATGTCCCAAAGTAATACATAGTAACAGCAGGAAATGAAGATAACATCAGCATTTGGGTTTCTTAGGAACAGAGTGAGCTGTTCTCTGAGAAAAGCACAAAAGTATTTAGAACTAAAGATCAGAAAGGACTCCGAATAATAGATCTTTGAAAGTAGCAGGAAAAGGGCGGGATGAAGCTTATCATTAGTAATTTCATATGTGTAAGTCAAAGTCTGTGTTTTGCAAAAAATGACTTCAATTATCAGCAGAAGTATAAGGCTGAGAAATATCTATATTTGAGTCTGAGAA